TAGCACTCGGGAGGTGGAGACAGGGTGGTCACGTGTTCAGCTTGGCTTCGCAGTGAGTTCCAAGCCAGCCTGGGCTACCTAGCCTGCAGAAGCAGCAACAAACTCAATCAGAGCAAACCAAAGAGCCAACACTGATGGAAACCTTGTGCGCTCTGCACTCACCTGTTTCTGTTTTCCTGCTGTGTACGCATAGCCCCTCCTGCCTCTGTGTCCAGCCCCAAAGGAAAACTGACATGTGATTTTAACGTTTTCTTTAACTTGGACAGTTCAGTCCTCCACCACCTCCTCTTCTTCCTCTTTGTCTTCTTTAATGATCTTACAGTTTTTGAAGAAGTGTTTTGTAGAGGGTTCCAGATCTTGCCTTATTTACCTGAGTTCAGGTTATGTGTTTTCTGGCTGTAGTACTACAGACAGGATGCCGTGGGTCCTTCCTGCTGCATGAGTCATGAGTGGTTCTCATGGTGTTAATTATCTCTCAATTAAGGTGGTGCCTACAAGGATCTCCTTGGAAAAGACACTGTTTATCTGTTGACTAAGGATCAGATGCAGACCATTTTAAGACCACATGTGTGTTGTTATTTCTCATCACACTTTTGCTTCGTTACTGGTGATTCTCATCGGCAGTGACTGTTAATTACAGTGGGGCTTGCCAGATAGTGTTGACGGGAAGGGGTGGTGATGGGGATGGGACCAGGACTTCGTTCCTGTGAGGCCTGTGCTTTTACCACTGAATTCTTAGTTTTGGGATACTCCTGTGTTTACTGCTCTCGTTGGCAGCCTGAACCCGGGAGAGCAGGGCCTAAACATGAGGCAGACAAACATCTCATGCAATAGCCAACTTTATTTAGAGAATCAGACAACTTATCCTCTGAGGGTTGGGAAGGGTCATGGAGTGAAGTGTACAGTCATAGGCTAAAGTGCGTGTGGCAAAAAACGTGTATTTCATAGTGGCACATGAATAACAGCAGCTGAAGTCCACTCACTCCATCCACCACACCTGGGAGGAACACAAAAACATTCCAAGAACAGTTCTGTGTTTTGAAGAAACTGAGGTCACAAGACTCATCTTCTTTTCTTGGGGTTTTCTCACAAGCGCTCAGAATTCCCCTCCCATGACTCCATTCTTGGACTGTGTTCTGACACTCCTGTTACCCAGGTAGGCCTGGAACTGGTGAGACATCTTTCCTCAGCCTCCCAACTAGTGGAATTACAGGTGTGTAACACCATGTGTCTTTTGTTTGTTTGTTTGGTTTTTGAGATAGGCCCTCACTATGTAGCCTTGGTTGGCTTGGAACTCACTATGTAGACAAGGCTGGCCTTGAACTCACAGAGATCCACTTGCCTCTGCTACCTCAGTGCTGGGATAAAAGGCATGTCCAACACAACCATCTACCATTATGTCTTTAAAAAGTGTTGCAGTGACTCCATTTCCCCCAACTCTGTGTCTTCCTCCTCTGCCCCTGCGGTGGCCCCTTCTCTCCGGGAGCTCTTCTGTGCAGCCTGTACCATTTCTTCCACTGCCCACTTTGCAGCCCGCTTGACCTTTCCTCCAGTGTTGCTCCATGGAAGTGATCCCTTTTGACCTCCGTCTTTTCAAGTCCCCAGATCATTTGGTTCTGACTGTACTCACCTTAGGTTCCTGTCCTGTTTGTACCCTCTTGTTCTCCGTGAGTTGTCTTACTGCTTTAGCTAAGACTTCAAGAACTGTATTGAACAGGTATGGAGGGAGTGGGCAGAACAGTGTTTTGTTCCTGATCTTAGTGAAAATGCTTTGGGACTTGTCAGAGAGGGGACATGGTCTCACCTTTTCAGAGAAGCCTCCCTGGCACAGGCAGAAATAAGGGTCCCCCCCAGCCCCCCATGCTTTCCTAGTTTTTGTCTTCTTTTTAAAAGTTATTCCTGCCATAATACCCGATTCTTTTATTATTGGTTACCTGTTGTATGTCAGAAAGCATTCTAGGCATGGATGAAAGCAGGATGGTAGAGGTCCTTACTTTTAAGGACTCTACATTTCAGAGGAGGGAAAAAGAAAAACCAATCCTATGATTTGGGGCTGTGGTGAGTGGTACTAAGTTAAAATGAAATCAGATGATTTGATAATGTGATGGACACATGTATGCATGTGCGGCAGGCAGGGGCAACTGTGGTCCATTCATGAGTTGTGTCACAAGTTGACACTTCACGATGAGAGTGATCCAGCCTGTCAGAAGTCTGAAAGAGCTAGCAACCTCCTGGGCAGAAGCCACAGTAGGACAAAGGCCCTGAAGCCAGCAGCTCAGGAAAGCAGGCCAGTAAGATAGGAGAACGGCCAGCAGGGAGAGGATTTGGGGAGGACATAGACCAGGGAGGTGGGTGGGGTCAGGCCTTAAAAGATCTGTCAGTGAGACGTTGGTAGATGTTCTTTGTGGTGCTGGAGAATCAAACCTAGGGACCTTGCCCACGCTGGGCAAGCACTCCCCTGCTGAGTACATACCCAGCCAATACTGGATTAATATTGATTAAGAGAGGCAGGCTGCATGGTTTGATTTATGCCTTCAACCATCACTGGCTTATGAGAATTACAAAGGGACAGGACTGAGCAGAGCGGGTGGCGCTGTGGCTGCATGTACAAGGTGTTGGTAGTTGGAGTTACTATATAGTTGGTGTAACTGAGAGAAGTGGGGTGGCTGGAGAGGTATTGGAAGGCAGGCCGACAGGACTTGTCAATGGATTAGGTGGGCCAGGTTTATGGAAGTGCGGATTCAAGCACAGGACGGGCCTCAGCAGTTTTCTCAAGTACTGGGTGGGTGGTGGCATTTCTGGACATGTGGAGGACTTGGGTGGTGATGAAATGGCCTGTTAGGAGGACTCAAGAGTAAAGTTGATGTTCCTTTTAAGACCCCAGAGTGTGGCTGACAAGAAGGTGAGTCTGAAGGTCAGAGATGCAGCCATATTCTGGGGACCCATGAATTTATTCATTGTCTTAGTGCTAGGTTGTAGCTCAGTTGGTGAATGTGTGCACAAAGTCATGGGTTGATCTTCTGTACCACTTACACTAGATGTGAATGTGTGCACAAAGCTGTGGGTGGATCATTTGTATCACATAAACTAGATGTAATTCAGCATACCTGAGGTAGAGGCCCGGGGATAATGCTCTCACGGTCATCTTCAGCTGTATAGTGAGTTCCAAGCCAGCCTGTGTTGTGAGAGACTGCCTGAAAACAACAGCAGAACCCCTCCGCTCCCCCACCCTCCCCACATCTGTTCATTGTCTTAGAAAGCTGTGAGGCCAGGCAAAGAACTAGAGTTGGAGCACAGACAGAGAAGAGAGCCAAGGGTGGGCCTTGGGCCCCGCAGAACCCAAGCTCTGGTAGAGGAGGAGAGGTGGGAAGAGGAGAGATGGAGCCACAGAAGACAGAACGTGCTGAGAGGGACTATTTCCGGAAGGAGGGAGATCGACGGTGGTGTGCTGCTAAGAGCTCAGTGAAGGTACAACCATAGAGGGGACCGTCAACTTGACTCTGGTAGTTCCTCACGGATGGTATAGCTAAAGCATTTGGATGGCAGGGGATGGGGATGGAAATTAGCTGTCTTTTGGCTGTGTGCTGGTCCTTAGGAGTTAGCAGGTAGCAGATGGTAAATGTTGGTATGTAGGCTTAAATTTTACAACACGGTTTAACAAGTGATGAGCTGCCTTACCCTTACTCAGAGTGCCTTTAAAGATTTTACTTTTATTTATGTGTGCATGCCTGCATGCATGTGTGTACATCGTGTGTGTAGGAGCTTACAGAGGCCAGAAGAGGGCATCAGTCTCCTAGAACTGCAGTTATTGTGAGCTGCTGATGTGGGTGCTGGGAACTGAACCCAGGTTCTCTATAGCAGTGGCAAGCTCTTTTCATTTCTGGGCCATCTCTCCAGCTCCACCAGAGGGCTTCTGAACGGTGCCACCAGTTTGTGTTTATTTATTAGCTCAAGGAATATAGTTGTGTGAATTATGACTTAAAAAAGTAAACAAACAAACAAAACCCCAGCATGGTGAGAAAGACCATCCTGACTTGGCAGAAGTTCATAGTGCAGCCATAAGCCACCGTGATGTGTGGTAAGGGCTGTGCTGAGGTTTTAAGCCGTGGCTCTGCTGGCGGTTCCTTCTGAAGGTGTGTGCCCACCCCACTGCGGTTCCTCCTCTGTGAGGCATGGGTGATCCCAGCAGATTCTTACAAGGTTTCTGTGAGCAGTGAATGAACGGAGGCTCATCAAGGTCCTCTGCATGAAGTGACGCCCCGTAAGTGCTGTTTTTGTGAAAACGATTGGATTAGCCATCTCATTATGGATTCTGAAGTCAGTCAGATCAGAGCATCGCAAGGTCCTATGGACACAGTGGTGTGTGAATGGGGACCGGCTTCAGGGAGGATGTGACACCGTGGGGTGCAGGGCTTCTCTAGAAACTTAGAAGAAGTTAATTTCTTTGGCCTCAGTCTTTTATCTTCTCCAGATGAATAGAACTGTTCTCTTAGAACCAAATGATAGACTATATCCTGCTTAGTTGTTATTGTCACCTTGACGCAGCCCCTGGGGAGAGGGGACCTCAGTTGAAGAATCGCTTCCATCAGGTTGATCTGTGGCCGTGGCTGAGAGGCTATCTTGATCGGTGATTGGGAGCTAGGCCACAGCAGGTGGTGCCATCTTTACCTGGGCAGGTGGATCTGGGCTGTATAAGAAAGCCTGTGCATGAGCCAGTGAATAAGCCAGAAAGCAGTGTTCCTCCATGGTTTCTGCTTGAGTTCCTGCTCTGACTTAGTGATGCACCATGACCTGGAAGTGTAAGCTGAAATCAACCCCTTTCTCCACCAAGTTGCTTTTGGTCATGGTGTTTACCACAGCAGCAGACTCCAGCCTATGATAGATTCGCTGGAGTCAGATCTGGCGAGGGTCTGTTGTCCTGGGTTTTCAGGAAAGACTGCATACCTGTGTGAGTGTGCCAATTGCCTCTGATAAGCTGTCCTCTTTGTATTTACCTCTAGGGTAAAAACCATGGCAAGAAACTCCGAAATTATTATGCAGCCAACAGCTGTCCTCCTCCAGCCAGGGTGAGCAGCATGCCAGAGCCTGTAGCCACTCCCCTCGTTCCAGTCCCTCCGCAGGTGAGCAGCACTGTGTGAAGAGGCTGTCACACACATGTGGTCATGAGTACAGGTCCTGTGACTGTCTGTCAGGGCCAGTCTGGGCAACGCCCCGAAAGGTCCTCGGTCCTCTTAACTCCTTGGGCTGTGTCTGCCAACATTTTTGAACCTTGAGATCTCTCATTCGACTGGACTGTGATGTGTGAGATGATGGAAAAATATTGTTATGTCTATTTTTATATGCCTTTTAGAATTCTAGGTTAAATGACCACGTGATGATATCTAGGCTTTGCCCTAGGGGAAATGGTTACGTGGTTAAGTGAGAGATAGTTAAGTGGTTGAGAACACTTACTGCTGTTGCAGAGGGACCTGGATTCTGTTCCAGGCGCCCACAGGGTGGCTCACGATTGTCTGTAACTCCAGTTCCTCGTCCGTTCTGAGGGCAACAGGTACACATGGTACACACAGTACGTGTAGACAGCAAACTCGAATGCATAAAGTAAAATAAATATAAAAAATTCCACTGAAGGATTACTTATCTTGAGTGCTTTTGATATTGTCTTAAATCCTGCTCACTAGGTAAGTTTATAATTGGCTTGCTCTAGTCCTGGGTCCTGGCCTCATTTAGTATTTGCCGTTACTTGAAAGTGTTGGCCTTATTATTCAAAGCTTGGTCCATGGGCCAGCAGCATGGGCCTCATGGGGGCTTTATTAGAAGCCTGGAAAAGCTAAGGAACTTTCCATGATGTTGCATATTTTGAAATGTTGCAGAGCAAAAATTCTGTGTCATCTTAGCCTGGTGTTCACAACTACCAAGGTATAATGTTACTTTCCTGAGTGTTTTTCTGCTTAAAATGTGTGTAGGTGGCCCTCCTCAGACCTACAGGAAATAAGATACATTAAGAATGGCAGCAGGGGCGCTTCCAGCTGAGTGGTTTTCACATTATGAGTTCCTTCAGGATGGATGCTCTAGAGTCAGGTGGCTGTTCCTCCTTAGCAAACAGCCTGGCTCACCTTGTTTGTTTAGCACAGACCTCTGTGAAATATGAAGATACTGTACTGACCCCGGAGAACCTCCTCTTCCAGGTCAGACAGTGCTGTTTTTTGAACTGTTCTAGATAAGGTATGGTCTCCACAGTCTTAACCATATGTTCACTTGTAGTCCAGGTTTGCTTTGTAATTTTTGTTGGCCTAAGGGAATTTAATCCTGACAGTGTTTGGTTTCTTTTAACATGGTGTCTGGCTTCACTAGGTCTTTTCCCTGGTTGTATAGCCACAGGTGGTTTGGAGAGTTTGTAAGACTGGAGCTTTCTAAACTCTGCAGCTTTGGGTCTGGGTGGGCTGCTCAGTATACAGTTGGTGCTCAGTAAGTGTTTATTGGGGGATTTTTGAGCAGACTTCCTTCTCTCTGGGAAGATTTTCGCCTCACTTCCTTACTGCCTCCTGCCCTAAATGTCCACACTTTGAAAACATTTCTTCAGTGGCTAGAGCATCACACTAGTTGGTGCTTTGGTTCATAGGTGATTGTAATCTCTTTCCCTGGAATTACTTTCTTCTTATCACTGCCTGCGGCTGTGCCCTAGGCTGTGGCTGTTTCTCAGAAGGATCTTGGAGGAGTGGAAGGTGTAACTGCTTCTGTGTCTTTGCTGGCAGGTGGGCTCCGGCAAGCCGGGGGGCAGAGTGATCCTGGCCACAGAGAATGACTACTGTAAGCTGTGCGACGCCTCCTTCAGCTCGCCTGCGGTGGCACAGGCCCACTACCAGGGCAAGAACCACGCCAAGAGACTTCGTCTGTCTGAAGCTCAGAGTAACTCGTTCTCGTAGGTGTCGCCATTGCCTCTGAGGCCGGTTGTTATGTGAGAGCAACCTATTTAAAGGAGGAGATGAAAGGGAGCCTTGTTTGGATGTCTCACTCATTTCAAATTTCTTTTCTCCAGGGACTCCGCAGAGGCAGGGCAAAGGCGGACCCGGAAAGAAGGGAGTGAATTTAAGATAGTGTCCACCAGGAGGAATACATACACGGTCCAGAACAGTTCAGGTAGCCTGCATGCTCCCATGTGTCTTGCAAGTGTTCGCAAACCTGCAAATGATAGCAGTGTATAGCCCCAAGAAATTAGTTAGTGCTTGTGTTACTGAATTGCTCTTCTGGCTGTTTAGGCTGCTGTTTATTTCTGGTATTCTTTATTTTTTATTCAGTATATTATTTATCTTGGTTTTAAAATCATAGTGTTTTCTAATTCCTTACTTTTTAAAAAAATATTTGTCAGAAGAAATACGTAAAGCAGATTAGAAACTGGGCTTTTTGAGGGCTGGGAAGCTTATGCAAGCATGAGGACCTGAGTTCGATCCCAAGCCAGACACAGCAGTTCACACCTATAACCTCAGGTGGAGATGGCAGGTCCCTGGGCTCTCTGGCCAAACAGTCTAGCTGAATCAGCAAGCTCCAGGTTCAGCGAGGTTCTGTCTCACAATGTAAGGTGGAGAGAGACTAAGGAAGACACTGGACATGTTCACACTAGGTTCAGTTTTCATCTACGGGGGCAAATGTAAAACACAGCAGCGATTTTTAACCAGGTAGTAAATGAGAATTATCTGTGAAGTTCTTGTGACGTGCACATTTAATGGAGAGCCATGTGTTTATGGAAGTGCTCTGTGTTCATCCTCGTCTGCGCAACCACAGCCTCCAACACTGTACATGCCAGCAGGGGCTGTTTGTATGGACAGTAAAACAGAAACAATCCTCTGAATAATAAGAGACAGCTAGTGAAAATAGAGACAGAAAACCCTGTGGTCTGATGAGTGCAATCCCAACGCATTACTAGTTATGACCAAAGTCAACTAAAAAACAAAGATCATCGGGCTGGATTTCAAAAGCTAGTTGAGATGAAGGACCCTCCCATAGCTATGTTAATGCCAAGGAAAATGCATTTTAGGATGTGGGTGACAGAGATTATGTTCTCTGTGGAAAGTAATAAAATTACAGAGACAGGCTGAGGTGAAGGGTCTTACTGTGTTGCCTGCACTGGCTAAAAATTGCTACAATCTTTCTGCCTCAGGCTCCCAAGTACTGAATTACAGGTACAAACTATCATGCTTGGCTACAGTCTATAAACATTGTATTTATTTTTAAGAGCCATAAGCATTTAGAACCTGGTCTTGTCTCTGTAGCAGGTATCCTGATACTAGCTGGAGAATCATTTTATGTTTATAGATTGAACTTGTATTCACATGTAATTAAATCCACCTCTCCTTTATTTAAAGTTAGAATCTGAATCGGAATTAGAATTATATATTACAATGAGAACTGGGGGATTGTTTTTTACTAAATGAGCATCCTGAGCATCTGCGCGCGCGTGCGTGTGCATGCGCGCGTGCGTGCGTGTGCGTGTGTGTATGTGTGTGTGTAAAGGTGTGTAAAGGCTAGAGGTCAGTTTTGGTTTATCTTTCTCTCTTGCTCTCCACCTTATTTTTTGAGCTCACTGATTGACTGGGCTGGCAGCTAGTGAGTCCCCGGGATCCTTCTGTCTCCGCCGCCCCGGCACTGGGGTCACAGGCACAGGCCACAATGCTTGTCTTTTATGTGGGTGCCAGGGATCCGAACTCAGAGGTCTTCCAGTCGTCTCCCAGCCCTTGGCTACTTCACTTCTGCCTCTTGCTTCAGCAGGTCCTTACTTCCATGCCCGCTCTCGGCAGAGAATCCCGCGAGATCTCGCCATGTGCGTCACTCCCAGTGGCCAGTTTTACTGCTCCATGTGTAACGTCGGCGCTGGTGAGGAGGTGGAGTTCCGGCAGCATCTGGAGAGCAAGCAGCACAAGAGCAAGGTGTCGGAACAGCGGTACAGGAGCGAGATGGAGAATCTGGGCTATGTACAGTGACGGCCGCGCCCACGGAGACGCCGGTCCTGCCTGTTTTTGCCTTCTGTCAACCTGCCTTGCTTTGTGGTCCCCTTGATACATCCATTCCTCCATTCCTCTGCTTAGTATGAATAACCTGCAATGGTGCCCTGAGCCGTCACGTCGGGGTGGGGGAGGGAGATGTGCTTCTTAGGTCACGACGCTCTTTTGAGCCAACCCTGTCAAACGACTTACAGTATGTGACCTACCTGCCCCATCAGAAATAACTTCTTATCTTGGCCAAGTTCTCTTTAACCAGGAGTAGCCTGTTTGGAGCTATGATCATTTAAAAACGGCATCTATTTTGCAATTCTAGTTTTATGCGTATTAGAGGAAGACTTGATTTGAGTTTGTCCCTCAGATTATAGTGGAAAGAGGTAAGCAGAGAGTCCCGTTTCCTGACGCTCCCGGGGAGCCATCGTCACAGTGCGGTGTCTGTGATGTGCGGTTAGGGTGTGCGCTTGGGTCTCTCAGCAACAGTGCGTCCCCTGTGGCATGTCCGTCCGTCATTGACATGCAGGTGTTTTTGACTCCAGACACTTGCAGAATGCTCATGTTCTTCTGAAGACGTGACTTCATCTCCAGTTGTGACCTGCACACGTTTGACCCCCACCTCCTCCCTCCTATGGATCAACTTACTGCTGAGCTCGGCTCTCGCCCTAGCTGTCCTGTCGGTCTGAGACTCAGACTTGACTGTCGAATGAGTTGAAGATGGATATTCTTTTTAAAAAATATATTTTCAGATGATTCAAGGAAATGCATGGGTGTGTTTGAGATTTCAATTTGGAATTATATTTTCACTGGTAATTACGTGAATTCCTGGGATGGTCATTACCTCGTGGCTTTTTGATGATTGTCCTGACACTGCCCCAGCAGGTGGTGGGCACTCCTGGAAATATCGCTCTCTGCTGTTTCTTACGTGGGAAGTTTTCTTTTTTAAAAAGCTAATCAAGTTTCAGTGTCATGTCCAGTAGAAGAGCACACAGACCTTGTGCTTTCTCCTTTGCCTCCTTGGAGAGAATGAAAACACAGACGGCTTTGGTGTCTAATGATTCTAACGGGATTCTTATTTTTTAAATAAAAAGCCATAGAGTATGTCTAGATCGACTACCGGAGTATTATGTGAACTTGTGTTCACCGTGTTCTCTCTTTTTCTACTTTTCTTCATGTGGTAAGAGCGGCATGCCCGTGCTTGGCAGGGCAGCGTGCTTCTGCAGAAGGTTCCAGCCAGCAGTGGTTAGCACTGTGACAGAGGCACATTTTATACTTACATCACCACCGGAAACCTCGGTAGCCTGGAGAATTCTCCAGGCTAACAGATGGAGAGGAAGGAATGCTCACCGATCCTCCTTTCCATTCTTGCTTCATAATTAAAGGTTCATTTTATGATTAGCTTCTAGAATAGTACCCAGGTACTTTCTCCTGTTGAAATGCTGGTTTCTTGAAAAGTGGAACTATTTGGTTCAGTGTTTCCCCCTCAGAACAGAAGAAAGAACAGTGTTCACTTGAGATTTGATCTCCGTCTGCAACTCCTCATACCAGAGCCCCTTCTGCGGCCATCTACAGAGTTGGTCAGTTTAGGGCAATGTAGGATGTATCTTGTTAGCCATTTGGTTGTTCATTTTGCTGCTAAATATAATTCTTCGGTAAATTTAAATATCATGCCGGCCACTTGGTTCTGTGATTGTTTAACGGTCTCATTTGCTCTCTGCAGGGCTGTGTGTGTGTATCCCTGTGTCTGTGTCTAAAGATACATGCTTCCCTGCCTCCTAGTTTTATGTAATACCCCAGAGAGAATTTCACCTCATCTTTATCTCAGAATAACATTGAAGATTCTGGGTATAGACTTAGATTTTATAAAAGTGACATTCATCTGCTTTGCGTTTTTCCTCTGGGAATGAAGTCAAAAGATGTGTCCCCCACTCTCTGTGTCCCCCACTCTCTGTGTCCCCCACTCTCTGTGTCCCCCACTCTCTGTGTCCCCCTCTCCTGTGTCCCCCACTGTCCTATGTCCCCCACTCTCTGTGTCCCCCACTCTCTGTGTCCCCCTCTCCTGTGTCCCCCACTCT